AATAAAAAACTCTTATATCATTTCAGATTTTAGAAAAAAGAATATGCACTCAGATATATTTTATTTGAAAGGTTTAGGGAAGATAACGGCTAGTTAAGTGCTATCTAATTTCCTTTATGTTTCCTTTTTCTGAATGGTTCTTGACCACTTTCAATTACTTTCCACCTAACACATGCTACAAAACATTTCCTGATAGTCTTGTAGTCGACGTGTATTAAATTGGTAACAATTGATGAAGCATGATGGCAGATATATTGCTCTTGAAAAAGCTCTGTAGAATTATCATACAACCGCTTTGTCCATTCTCAGAGCGATCAGGATCCAACAATAGTGAAAAGACTATCAGTATCTTATTGTTCTCACACCTTGTGTCTGGTGTTTTTGTCATCATTGGAATCAATGCAGTTGAACAGGCGTATTCAGACAAAGCTAAAACAAGGTCGTGGGTCGCAATGATGATATCTGTTTCTCTTGGATTGATATCTCTGATTATTCTCATCGTGTCTGGTTGCAGAAGAAGACTAACCACCCAAGGACACCTTCAACACAAACTTGCCGATCCATCTCTGAAACTCAGAATAATTTTCCTCTGGATCTTTGGACTAGCAGTTATGGTACATGTTTCCATCTACGCTGCTATTTATATAGAATGCATCGTTTTGTTTTCCTTAAGAACAGCTGAAATGATTCTTTCAATGATGAGTAATGCGATTCTACTACTTTTTCTTCTGATTGAGTTGAGTTTTATATCGTATTACCAAAGCAAAACGATTAGAAAAAACCTCCTCGTGAACATTTCAAGTATTTTTATTCTTGTAGCAAACTTCGTCATCTGGTTCAATATAGTTATTAGCAATATCTCTGTATTTCAACTTGGAAACAACACTGTCCCTAGATATAGCAATGAGTCTTATTGTTTTCGAACATCCAACATACAACATGGATTAGCAGAGCAACTATCACCTATCTTATTACCAATGAGAATGGAGTTTTGTATTCTTGGCTCAAGTTTTATTATTTCATTTTTGGGTTTGCCATTCGATAGTGCAACGAATGACTCTAATAGTCAAAGAAATCAAAATTTAAAAGAAACCATAAATTATACATTAGATCTTCACGAAAGAAAACTGCATCTAATGGGACGAAATATTTGTGTAGCAATATGTGGAGTTTTCATCAATTTACCAATACTTTTTGCAACTGTATTGCTCGTGTTTGCATACAACTGGAATAGTGATGGTCTTATTCTCCTACTCCAAATTGGCGAGTGTGTGAGCACATTTAGCGGTATTCTTACTGTCTATACATGTAGTTATCATCTAAACAAAAACTTCAGCTGCTCTACTAGACAATCAAGATTGACCACCAATGAATATATCCTAATTCTAACTTCCTCTGGTATGGTGACTTACTACATGTTTGGATTAGTGACCGCTTTTTCAAATCCCTCCACTCCGCTAAAAATGTTTCTCTGCAGTCGTATATTTTTTCTGATTGATACTTTTCTGCAGACACACCTTTTAATCAAAGTCAGGCGCTATCACACGAAGGGAAAATCTTCAAATCTTATTTCCTCTGGGGGAATTATTCTGATGTCGACCAATCTTATTCACTGGTTTTTAAATTCTTATAACCAGCAAAGATTTCACAAAGAATTAGAGCCCGGACTCGTTGGACTGGAAAGCTGGCTGTATATACAAAATATACTTGTTCCGTTGATGTTATTTTATAGGTTTTACTCCGGTATTAGTGCATACTCTTTGTATTATATGTTCAAGCCAAAACATTGAGAGAATTTATCATTTAACATGTTAAAAAAATGTGCAATCTCTACATATTGAGCATAATGTTGAACATAATTCTAGATTAATTGATTTTCCCCCTTTTTAAAATTCTTATTTGATTGTTTTGGATATGATAAACTTAAAGAAAGTGAGCATTTCACCAATTCCTACGGTCGTTATAATGTCATTTTATTAAAAGTTGCACTACAATCAGGATGTTTACTGACACTTTCCCTATCAATTGCTAAGACAATTCAATTCTTTTTGCAAATATTCGTTAAAAAGGATGCTTACTTTCTCTGTTTATCTGATCCCATCTTCCATATTTCTAAAGAGTAGCTGTTTGGCGTGTTATTTCAAAAAATTAAATATCGACCTAGACCAGGCATTAATTATAACTGTAATCATTTTATAAGCGGTTCCATCTACTGTGACAGGGGATTTCAATTTTATGATCGCATTCAGAGACAAAGGGAATAAATACACACTCTAGCAATACCTTAGTCGGCTGTAATAATGTCATCATTTTTTAATAATATAATACTTGAGATCGGATCTACCTGACACTTTTACCATCAATTGCACAATTGATATTTTTCTTTTTCAAATATTATTACACCTAGCCATGTTACTTTTTCTCTTCATCCCAGGCTGATCCCAATTTTTTTTCTAAAGAGGTTGTTTGGCATGATATTTTAAAAAATCAAATATTTCTTGACAAGACCAGGCATTAAAAATGACTGTAATCATTTTATAAGCGAAAATCTATCTACTGTGACAAAACCTATTTTGTGTGTGTGTGTGTGGGGGAGACAAAGGGAATAAATACTTTATTGCAATCCTTATCTCATAGCTTTATTATTAATTAGCTTATATTGTTTTAATTATATAATAGAGAGAGGGGGAGCATCTACAGGAGAATGCTTCACAAATAACACAATATGATAATTTTTCCTTATTTCATTTTGGCAGTTATTACTCCTTGCCATGTAGTTTTGTTTCAGTGCTTCATTTAATCGAGAAGGAGGTATATAGACTTATTTTTCTATATTTGTATTTATCTATGATCTGCTATTTATAAAAATAACGAAGGGTTCCTTCCTTCCTCATGTTTGTACATCAACTTAAAAAAAATAAAGTGTTAATGGAAATCCTGTCTGTATTTTTTCCCTAGTGTTATTGAAATTTGAATTTTTATTGGTATTTCCTTATACGATTTCATCTACGTGGAGCAGTGGTTAGAACGTTTACCCTAGAAGCACGCGGTAAGAATGGATCCTTACGTCACGGGTTCGACTCCCCTCTGTGACGCAGAGAACAGATCCTTCTGATGAGACCACATAGATTGAGGTTCCTTGTAGTTATTTAACCCCTTCACCGAAACCCACTTTACATTCCTAAGATAAATAGGTCTCTTTCAATCGCTTGCTTATCTCTCAATTTTTTTTTTTGTGTTCTTTTATTTCTTAATGTTTACTTATTTTTGTGGACGAAGTTATTGAAAACAAAACCGATGCTCCATTGATCTCCATCTTTAGCATGTAGATAATATTTCAAAAAATGAATATATATGACACATCTTTAAAGGTTATTTTAATACCATATTTGAAAGGGATAAAAAAACAAGATTATCTCAAGGATATGATAAATGCCGACATAGATTAAGGATATTAGATAAATTTGATCAATCGAATTTATGCAATTAACGGCGAGTATCACAGTGCAAAGGGCGTAAAACTCTACGAAATACTTTTATCTAAGTAAGCAGCATAACATATGCACCAACATTGATACATCGATGCTAATTGAGGTATTATTGAACAGCCAACAATGTAAGAGAACTCGTCTTATTTGACTATCGATGTTCCGTCTACCTGATAAATATATAGGGCCCAAAGCTGGTCCTGGGCACCTGATCCATCCTCTGTATTGTACAGATTTAAGTTTTTTACTATCTGTGTACATATTTATATTGTTTATAGATTAAAAAAAGATTTCTTGCTGTTCATATTTTCTCATCTATATGATGATAAATTCTTTAAATTTATAGGCTTTTGAATTTTATTACCATTTTATGTTGGTAATATCTTATGAACATACCGCATTGGGTAATGAAGGACAGTTTTTAAATATTTTGCTTTGTCTGAAATAAGATTTTATTAAATTGATTAACTTTGCGTAAAAATGTTCAGGCCAATTAAGTGGATTTATTTGGAAAAGGAAAAACAAGGAGAACATAAATGATATGATAAAAGAATTGCCCATGACTTGAAATGACACGGAATACTTAACCCCTCATGGCAGCTGATCGTATATGTTTTCAGAGGTACATGTTTGCTCATCTCTCAATTTTTATTTCTCCAATAGACATTTAGCCTAAATACTGTTTTCATTTTATCCAACATGTTTCGTATTTGCAATTGTCAAGGTTTGGGGACAGAAGATACTAGCAGTATAATGGAGGGGTCATAACCGACCACGAACAATAGGGAATTCTTAAATAACTTATACTTTGAAAGGGAATGTTAAAAGTTTGAAAGAGGAATAGATATTCCTGAAAAAAACTTCTCACTTGAATCTTATCCTTGTTTATAATGCTCAAACCAAATCCAGGAAAAGCAGTGGAGTTTTATCACCGGAATTGTCAAAGGAGGAGGGTTTTTATTAAAAAAAACTTGATGATTTAAGCTTTCAATATGGTTTACATTCTGGAAATTCCTCACTCATTGAATATAAATACAATTAATCCTTATTCCCAAGCCCTAGCTACGATAACTTGTTTTCAAAGGTTTTAAATTCCAAATAGAAAATTAAGCGAACAGGTCAATACTCTTAGCTGCTAGATTGTTTTTTAATAGTTTTAAATTGACAGCGTTCTTACATTCTTCTCAAATTCTCTTAATCTGACATTTTGAAATGCCAATTTCGTCAAACTTCAAATTGCAAGAACAATATTTCTTAAGTGGAGGGTTAATCGGGAGATTTTATCACCATAAAAACAAAAACGAGTAATTTCATATATATTTTTTAATAAATTGACCAGCACTAAATAATATAGAAATGTAGTAAAAGCTTCATTTTAAAGAGAAAATGTTTTTTTTTTCTAGTGCTGATCGAAGATTGTTCCCAAGATGGAATTCGGATTCCGAGGTTTCCTTTTCAAACCCTTGTATGTATCTGTTATCTGTATATCAGATTTGTATGGTTCCTGGGGAGTATGTGTGTATACAGGAATTCCATTCAAGGACTTATACATCTGTCTAAGTTTCCTTAAACTGCTAATATATCATGGCTCTACGGATCCTTGTTTTTATCACTGGAACATTACTTTATGTTTCCTGCACAAATGAAGGTAATTACCGTGTTCACAAATATATATGATTTTCAAAAATATAAGGTTATTAAAGTTCTGATTTTTTCTTAGTTTACGTACAAACACAATTGCTACTTCAACATTTGTTTTAAATGTTATCAAGCTAAGGGTACGCATCTTTTCAGTTTGCGTTTTTGAAATTCACCTAAGTTTTATTATAGTACTCCATTACTTCCATTTACAGACTGTTTTGAGTTTGGGATTCCGTACAGAGGATCAGTGAATACAACAATCTCAGGAAAACATTGTCAGAGATGGGACCAGCAATACCCACATCAGCATAAATTCAATAACTGGCCTGGCACTGTGGAGAATTTCTGCAGAACGTTGGACGAAACTCAGCCCTGGTGTTACACGACAAATTCACAACAGAGATATGAGTTCTGTTTTGTTTATATTTGTGGTGAGTCAGTCAATGAGTATAGGTATCATCATTTAAGAAATACCTTTCTTTAAAAAGCTGATCCTAATTTTGGCGTTATATCTTGATTTCCTATCACAATTGTCATAGTCAGGGAATAATTATATATAAAATAATTGATGAATTCTGCAATCTTTCAGAATAAACCTCAATGGACATTATGTGTTAACGTGATAGCCCCCTTTTCTTTAAGCAAATTATCCTATAGAATAGTTATATATATTATATATTAATGAACAATGAAATCTTTTTGTATAGATAAACCTAACAGAAAAAAACCGTTTTATAACCTCTTTTAGTTTAAAGAAATATATTGCATTTTTTGGCCTAGACGCCAATAATAATTATTTAAAAAAATATCGAAGTTCCTGCAATGTAGGTAAAAGTGTTCGAAATCACTGAATATTGTTATTATTAACAGAAAGATATAAGATCGAAAAATTTCAATTGAATTCAGGTTTTGGTGACATAATAGATAATTCTTTTTTAAAGTGATCTCATTGGAGAATAAATACATGTAGAATTTATGAGGGAGGGTGGGAATTGGTGGATATAAAGGAATTTTTTTTCATCCTTAAACCCAGCTTTTACATTAAGCGTAATTCATATACATGTATCATATAACATAGTATATTTCAGCAAATTATAACTGCTTCAGTCTAACTGCAATCTGTACATCCTGGTTGAATATTTTCCCTGAAATAAAAAAAGACGGATCTAAGCTTTTAAATTTATCAACAAGTGCATAATACTAGAAAATTTGGACTTCTTGGAAAAAGAGAAGATTAACAAATCAAATCCATAAAATGACTTACTTGAATTCATTTACCAATATAAACCCAAAATCTTAAATAAATTATTTTTTTCCCTTAAATTCATAATCGACTATTTAAACCTAACTTTATAACTGATATACCCTTTTCAGGCAAAACAAATGTAACATGTAGATTACCAGGGTATTTATACACTGGAACCATGAACGTGACAAAATCCGGGCTTCCATGTCAGCGCTGGGATTCACAAACTCCACACGAACACACGTATGGGTAGCTTTAGTCATGCAACAGAGAACTACTGTCGAAACTTTGATAGAGAGGAGCCTTGGTGCTTCACGAATGATTCTTCCATTCGGCTAGAATTGTGCGATGTGGATGTGTGCGGTTGGTTAAATCTTAATCAAATCAAATTTCAATATACGCAACAAACCAATAATTGATTGATTATTGCATTGATTACAGGTGTCACAGCAGTATTAATTTCTGCTATATACTCTTATCAAAAATGTGCAAATTTGATAAGATGTAACTAATTCAAAACAAACTTCTGAGAAGTTTCCTTTTCAGATCTTGTAAAACCATTCTTTATAAAGATTTTAGTACCAAAAAATACATAGCCATCCAGCAAGGCACGCAAGTTTGTTTCGGTCGAAGTCGAGCAAGTGTTTGAAAATCTAGTCTAGGGCCTAATCACTCCCCACTCTTGCACGCCCTAAATTTTGATAAATCTGGTCAATAAAGGAAGTTTACGTGTTGTTATTCATTTTCTAAAAAATTCAGCTACAATCTCGTATCAAAATGACCAAATCGGAAGGTAAGATTCCGGGATTATTTTGCGTCAAATAAAATTTGATTTGACATGAACCAAAGTGTAATACTGTTATGACACCTTAAGGCCGAGTCGGCAATATTTCAGCCATATTTTTGGAAAGTGCTTGAAATGAACTGTATGGAGATAACGAACAGTATCCAAGATCAAAAGTCCATAAACAATACAAAAAAAACATGTATGGGCAGAGCAAACACGGACTCCAAAACATCAGAGGTGGGATCAGGTCCCATGGAGGGGATAACATCTACTGTTTGTCAATATCTTACCTCGTTTTAGAAATAGATTTTGTTTTTGCATTTTGAATCTACTGAGATACATGATCTCCGTATGCAGATGATGAAGGTATATTGTTGCACAAGTAAGGTAAGTCGACTATAGAAAAGTTTGTCATCACATTTGTCATAGAGATTAGTTGTTAGATTACGATTAACGTTTTTTTTTTCATGTATAATATCGAAATATGAAACAGATGTGTCAGATTCTGTTAAATCAATATGCGTAAGTATTGATAATTATGGTAATTATTACTAATTACTCAAAACTTCACCTTTTTTTTATTTCCAAGGCTTCGGACTAACAACAGTAAAATGAAAACTTAATCGCCATATCGCTGTTGTTTTTTTCTTTGAATACTTTACATTCTTATCTTTCAGCAACACCTTGCCTCAACCCTAGTATTTATACAAAACAACGAGTTTTTCAGCATTGTATTAATCAAGTGCACATATCTCAGAACTGCAGGTATATTAAAATCTATTTCTGCTTTGTGGGGGATATTCCGGTTATCTACAATAGTCGGAATCGATGAATAATTTGAATAATGGACAAACTTAGTTATGTTAAGCACGTTATGTGTAAATTATACACCACATGTTTCCAACTGCATGTCGTAGATATCCCTGGAACATCCAACAAACTTAAGAGGAAACCTAAGAGCAAATACTTATATTTACATTAAGATGTAATTATGAAATGGGGTTAAATGCTGGTGAAGGTCTCGACGGGTGTACCTAATGTACCTAAATTACACTATCAAAACTTCGAGTTAATGCCTACTGTCTCAAATAGGTCACATGTCACACCTCCCTGTTGATGGTCCAGGAAATGCTACGGCAGCTGAGATGACCGTGGCAAAGTTAAGGTCACACCTGCCGTGTGCTTCTTTACAAGATCAGAAAATAATGGAAAAAATGGGAAAAAATAAGTCTGTAAATAATGATATATTGTATTTGCTTTTAATTAAGTCATTATATCGAACATAGAACGTACGAAATGATGACTTTAAACGAGACCAAGATAGCATAGAGGAATCAGTTGGAAAGATAAATGTCAATGCATCAAAATGAAAGAAAATACGTACAACTGCTTAATCATCATAAAGCTTTTTTGTACAGAGAGTGCATTAATACACAACAATCACTTTCATAACAATTGATTAGATAAACATTAGGTTTATGAGAAAGTAATTTTATGTAAATATTGTATATCTCCTGATAATGACTGGTATATTTTTTTTCGCGTATATACCTGATAGAATGAAACAAAACTAACATTGCTGTTTATAGCCACATAACGTATAAAAAAATGTCATGAATTCTTTTCCCTTTTGGTTTTTTTTTATTTGTTAGTAATTTAATTATTTCGCTTGTTTTGGGATATAGAAAAGCATAATAAAAAGATACTTAATAATGCTGATACTTATCTTATTTCAAAACAGCATTATTAAAATCATGCAGCATAAGATAGTTAATGATACAATCGAATATATGATAACATTAATTGAAATTTTATTAAGAAATGTTTAATGATACAATGGAAATTATGATAATATTAATTGAAATTTTATTAAGTAATGTAAACTTCAGCTTTATGACTGCGTTTGAATACAATTTTGCTTACAAAATACGATAATTTTATCGTAAGAAACCGAAAAAAAAAAACATTTCACATAAATCATCAGTGTATTGAACATTGTCGATAAATATATAATTTTAATTAAAGTTTTTATGATATTTATCTTTCCGTCTTTTTCAGCCAGCTATGGGGATTTCTGACCTGCTTAAAGCAGCAAACGGAAAATATCACTTCTATTAAATGTTCAGATATTCCTCTTAAAGCTATCGCTCTTCAGATGCAGGATGTATTAGAAAGAATTCTGGGTTGGAAAATTGACAGCTGTAAGTGGTTGATATGTATGATGTTTATTATTTGTCACAAAAAATCATTGTACACAAAACATATGGAGTCAACGTACAGTTTTAAATATCAAAGTCCAAAAAACAATACAAATTAGGAGCAGAGCAAACACGGACCTCCGAAACATTAGAGATGGAATCAGGTGCCATGGAGGAGTGAGCATCCCCTGCTGACCGGTCACACCCGCCGTCTGATCCATGTCATGATAAAGAAATAACGTTCATAATGCCATGTTTACTGAATAATCGTTGTTTATTACTTATATTTGTATTCTTTAGGTTTTTCAAGAATATCAGAGGAAATCCTAACTTACATAAGGACGCAGCTTCTTGTCTTCAGTAATGAAAAACATACGGCTTTAAAATCAGTACACCTGATCAATGATCCTTTTCTCTAATAAATCACAAACAATTTATTAAGTATTTCCCTCTTAAATACAGCTATCTGGATACAAGCAGTGCCGTCATCACATTCTCTTATTTTTTTCTTTTGATGCAGTTGTGACGTCATCGATCAACGCTATTGAAATCAATAATTTAACACTATGATGAAAAATGAGAATGCTTTTATAATGATTATTTCTCCAGAATGCTTTTCTGTGATTTTTTTTTAGTTTTTCTATTTATTTTTAATAGCTGAAATCATTATTAAAGTAAATATACTAGTTAAATTTTCTCTTTCTGAATGTTATTACCCAAATGTGAAGAGTTATCGTTCTTTGTACAAATATGCATGATACGAAAAAATAAAAATATAGCCGTTTTCTAAATTTTTTAAAAAGTTTCATTATACAATTTAATACATTGACTAAAATTTAATTTTTAAAGATATAAATCAGCTATTTTAAATATTCTGAATTTCTTTTTTTTTCAAAGAATATTATTAAAAACTTATATTTATTTCTTTTACGAAACATTTCATATATATACTTCTTAGCACAATATATAAGGGTAGTAGAGCATATTCTACACGAGTGTGATAGAGCAATTGCACTCATAGCAGAAGCAGTTGCGTCTATAGTCCTATGAACGCAGTTGATGACAACATGTTCATAGTGGGAGAGAGCAGTGGATATGCAAATATATATATATATATTAGGGATGTCAAATCGGTCGATTTTTAATACTCGGTTACTCGGACGTTTTTCCGATCGAGTACCCGGGTACTCGGTAAAAGTGTAAATAAATATGAACAAGTAAACTGAAACTATAAAACATTGTAAACTCTTGTAGAAAAAAGAAGAAAACAAAATGCACTGATAGGAGACCTATCCGTAAATGTATTTCTGTCGTAATAATGATGAGCACTTCGTGCCCGACAAAATTTAATATAACATACTTAATATTCAATTTATTTATCAAATAAACACAAGAAATAAAATTATAAGTTTTTCACAGTGTTTTTGTTTAAAAAAAATAATCTGCTACGTAATTGTAATGTAACTCTTTGTCGCGTTTGACGACCAGGTATCAGTCGTCAGAGCTACGTGCAGTATCAACTTGAACTTGATCAAGTTCTCCTAACAGAGCGGATTTACGATTTTCGTACACTTTTTCGATCCTAGACTTTATATTATTACGGGACGGTATTTTGTAGTTTGGTGCAACGATAGACATCAGTTTTATTATAGCCTTTGCCTTAACCAGTTGAATTGGCATGTAATATCGCACGTGTAATATCATCCGCTCTTTTCCCGAGAATTTACGGCTTCTCGGAGAAATGACAAAATTATCTAATTTATTTAAACATAATTGATCTCAAACGATGTTCAGTAAAAACAAATAATTAAAGCCAAACAAAAAATAAGGGAAGAAGACAGCCAAAGGTGAGAAAACCCAGGTACCCAAGGTGCTTGGTCATGATAATTACTGTATAAACACTGCCACAGGCGATAACTGTCATTTAGAGTCGTAGGAAACCCTAATTACTGTATGTACAAGTGCAATGAGCATTTTACGTTTTAAAACCGAGTGTTTAATGCATTACTAAATAAGTTTAGAAATATTCAAAATTATACATCCGAGTAATCGAGTACCGATTTTAGTATTCGATACTCGGATATATATATATATATTCTAATTCTTTTTAGGCAATTGCAAAATTATTGATTTAAATTACATGATTTACAGATTATTGTATCTTACCCTATCGACACATAAACATTTTTCTTTCTATGTTAATTATGATTAGATTAGAAACAAAACAACCTTAAAAAAAACGACATTCATGAAATTAGACAGGGTATTAATAAATGTTGCTTAATGTGTGGAATAAATACAAAGTATGAGAAGTTGAAGTTTTGCAGTAATACATAAAATCTAAGGATTTTCAGCTAAATGTATATTTCGAAAAACGTTCTATCAGTATCTCTAGATCTTGCATTTTGCAACTTGTTTGTGAATATATTTACTGAAATTTTCTGCCACCTTGTCGTTACAGGTATAAAGTCTGCATGTAGAAAGATACTTGACGCAGAACGTGTGCGATTTAGAATCCTTGATGATTTTGTGAAGCCTTGCAATGGACGTTTTAATGTAGAAAAAGCAACAAATGAATACGAATTTTGCAGGTATATTAGAAAAGGATATGTACGCTTTGTTAAAAGAAGTTCAACAATTCTTAATACCAATAGTTGCGTTGAAAAATAGGTACTAAAGGTTAAATGTGGATCATTCAGACCAAATAAGATTTTCATGAAGTAAGGAAAACTGAAAATGATCTAAATGTATAAATGAAATGTATTTTTCAAAACCTTTTCTTGCATTAAAGACTTACATTTTCATATATGTATGCATGAAAGAATACATAAAAACTCGAATAAGTAAACGATTCTTATTTCTCATCAATTTAATATCATTGCTTCCAAACGTATTTATTGATTTATTACACGTAATACTCTACAGAAGGGGGTCCTAAAATCATTTATTTTAAAAGAACCTGATTTAAGGTACATCGATGTATGAAGTTTTAAAAAGAAATTTCAAATAAAAGTATCGTCGAAAATTACACAAGACGATTGACGAAACATTAAAACTCCTTGATACCTTGTTAGAAAGGATAAAAAAAATGGTGGTAAAATCTCATGTTGGTTGGTTAAAAGGCAATATGAAAATTAAAAATTTTCTGTGTTCAGTAGTTACGAATTTACTATACAATTGAATTTATTATATAATCAACTATTCGTATCCCAACTGGCAAAGCAGGTAATAATATGATTTATATTAACAAAGATTATTTTTATATTTTACAGTTTCTTTTAAATAAGAGTTGATATCAATAATATTTTGTCAAAACAGTGTAGCTGATATCAATAATATTTTGTCAATAGCTTGCCTCTTTTTAGAAACTGTATTATGCATAATAGTATCTTGCATTACGAACTAATTAAGAGAGATAAACTTTGAATACCGTAATAACGGCATATGTATAATAAATAAGGGAAGTTGACGGAATCATTTTTGAGAAAAGGTGTTAATCAGATATTGACTTTCAATAAAGTCAATGATATTGTAATGGCCTGCGGTAGAATTTAATTAATTAGTTTATTTTTTTGTGATTTAAATGTGTCAACATTTATTGGGAATATCATCTGGGTGGATTTAATTATGCATTAACTACACTACTACATTTCAGTCCTTTGATTATTTACTCAACGTGGTATTGTCTATTTTTAGCACATTTAACATACTTGTTGTTTGGATTTATACAGAAAATCTACATTTCATGAAGTTGTGTGCATACCTTTAGAATCTTTGCATATTGCTGTATTTTACTTGACTATTTATGAGTCAAATAAGCGTTTGACATAGCCATAATTGCACACGATTGTTGGAGTCATGGAAGTTGTTTACATCCCGCCGACATCTTATTTGTATTAGCCAGAGTTTCGTATTTGAGCAAGTTGTATTTTGTTACGCAATTCGATGTTATGATTGCTTGTGAATATCCACAAAATTAATGTTTGAATATGTTTTACTAAGATTTATCAAGGGTTTTTACTGTAAACGGGATTTAATGGTAGTTACACATTTTTACTATGACAGGGCTATTTGAATATCGTCTGCTATACGATTGCAGATTTCTATCATGAAATATGCGTTTAATTCACATGGATTGTTTACTTACAGTAGATGAAAACATCTTTTGTAATCCCTATTTATTGGTTATTTTGTCTTTTCACATTTTAATTCGGTTTTGTAATTATAATCCTCGTTGTACGGCAGCCTTATTTGTTTGACGTTGTTTGGCACTGTTTGGCAGATCTCTGTTTGTATGGCGCCGTACAGCGCTGTGATTGGTCGAGTGTCACCGTACAGTTTTTTCATTCGTTAATTCATGTCACATGACTACTTCCGAAGGTTATAAATATAAGTGCCTCGCAGTATGTTTTCAGATAAGTTGCACCAGCAGCACACAGCAGTTTAACCTAAATAGCTAGGTGAGGCAACTGTAAATTATCTCCCAACACACTGGACACCTGATGTTATATTTTTAGAGCTTTTTAATGCCAAATCAACTTTATTACCATTTTTATCCTTGAAAGTACGGCTGACACTGTGGACTAAAACTAATATTAATTATCTATATGTATCCAATATAGATGTTTGTTTACCTACTGTTATATCCTGTTCAATGATCAATTAATAAACCAATTATTAAACTGATACCAAGCCTTGTCCTTACTGAGAAATATGTAGCAAGAAATAAGGAGTGACCTTGAGATGTGTTGAGTAATTATTTTGTATAGTCCCCATTCCAGGATGGCCATCCGTGGGGAGCTTACAATATCAAAATCTAAACCTTTTCAACACATTATAAAACCATTACACATAATTCATTAATTAAATACCAGGCTGTATGTTCTCATATACTATTGTTTACCTATTTGATAGAAGTAGAACAAGTGCATATGCATTCATTGTCACTAATAATTCTTTGGCTCAAAGAATTCTCATTATTCTACTTTTCTCTGAAACCATTAAATAATTTTATTTCAGAGACGCCCAACGACTCCTTCATTGTGTAATTTCGTTTTCAACGTGGGGGAGCGAATCAACCTGTCTTGTTAACGACAAACATCGTTTGGTCAACGCTTATAAATTCCTTGCTCCTCCAACTTTTAATCTGGAAACATGTAAGTTTACTTCTTTACTGCAACTGGATATCGGTAGTCCAACACCAACTTATAGTTTCCTTTTTACGGCGGAAGTTCTATTAAATTGCATTTTTATTTTTAAAATTTCAGTTTTGCAACAATCAAATTGAAATGGAATTACTAATCATATACTGGTTTCATAAACAACGAAAAATATTTTCAAAGATACATAGGAGCTTTCAGTATATTATACCAAGCCTTTTTTTCTTTCTTCCTCACTCAAATATAAATTGAAGTACAAACTTTAGGTGTATTGTGGAACAATATATTTGATAAGTGGTGTTAATCAGATGAGAATATTCAAAAATTGCAAGGAGCTATGTAATTCACAATATTTTACCAAAATCAATAACATCAAAACGTACGATTTATCAACATCTTATACCACAAATTTCTACAATCAAAAAAAGTCCAGGCTTTTTAATATTAACTAATTTTCCAATTCCTGATTAAATATCTAGTATATAGTTTTAGTAGTTGATGTTTCTTGTAACAATCTCTCTAAATGCCCATTGGTACCAATTCTACTTCGTGGTTAACATACCTATTTTGTATACAATAAAGCACAATATTTTCAAAACCACATACATGACAAGAGGATAAACTCTTTGCTGGCCTAATCGTGACATTTAGATATGTCAACGACGTAATATAAATTAAAAACAATATTTTTTCCAATCAAAAGTCTACTAGATATATCGAAGTAGACTTAAAAAAATATAACAAATAAATCTGGTAAATCGGATTCATTTTCGGGCACTTTACTGAGAAACTTTACTGGTTACTCAACAACGATACTTTGTGATAAACGCGAGGACGTCAACTTTTCAATCATAAGACTTCCCCTGTTTCTGTATCAATAATCCCTTATAACCTGCATATGGGGTTTGCGTTGATTTGATCTCAAGACTACACGTACAGATTATTTCTTAAGGTAGTCCGATTCTAAGGTTTATAAAATTAGCAGTTAAGTAATCAAAAATAATCATAATCTCTGAATCTACAAAGTTATGTAAATTGATCCACAGTATTTATTTAAAGTTAAAGATTTCAGTTAATCATATTTAATAAAGAAAATTGTCAAATCTCCAATATTTTTGCAGAAAAAATTTGTTTGAAAAATCAGCAATGTATTTTTTAATTGCAAATTGATCAACAATTATATATGAAATTTAAAAAAAAGAACTAAAGGTATCCAGACATTCAGAGAAATTGTCATGTTTTTTATACTTATTTGGTATTTCTTGTCTTCTGTTTCCGTCATGTATTCTATAAAACATAGTGTAAAAGACTTTTGCTATCATTGCAAGATACCACAAAAATCACTTCTTATTTCATATCATGCTAATAAGCATAAGTATCTAAGGCTGTATTCAATAAAATCTTATTTTTTTAAAACTGGGTCATTTTTTTCCTTTCATAGGGTACAAATGTCAACTTTTATAAGATCTTTTCTAAGACTTCAAAAAACTGTGAATCTTTTAAAGATAATTAAAATGAAAATGGTTTCATAAAATATTTTCATTTTCAAGCTTTATTTTGATTTTCGAATTTCAAATTTAATATAAATTTTTGGAGTTATCCTCTCTGGCTGAGGATCGGATAACCTTAAACGAGACAATCTATTGATAAACAAGTTGCTGAAATACCATAAAACGATTCAAAATAAGAGAACTGCAAATACGGACCTCCAAAACATGAGAGGTGGGATCATGTGTCGTGGAGCAGCAAATAAAGGATATCAACAGAGTCGTTCATGACTGTTTAATTATACACTTCACTTTAGATTGAACAGAAAATTGCTAGGAAAACTTAGCAAATTGATAGAATATTAACGATTGTTTTATAAGTAATTAAATAAAAAGTACTATAAACACGGAAAAATAATCATAATTCCTAATGTTATATATATCATATATCACAAAAATACGTTAATTTCCACATACGTCAATACGTTATGGTTTATGGCTTTTCAAAGACATTCCGAAGAATAGAAGTTGAATTTAATCCAAAGTAGAACAAACGTTCAATGTGATATTGACCTGAAGGTGGAGTGTAGCTGGATAGAACTTTACCTAACTGACTGGAAGTATTTGCAAGTCTTCCTTTTCTTTTTTGGCCTATGTAGAAAAAGTCATATGTTATATTCAGTTCAAAGGTTTTCTTAAAAATAATAAATTTAATGACCTTTTACACATGTTGTCTTACTTTTTTTCAATTCGAACATCTCAGGTAACCGTCGGCTAGATTATGTATTTTTAATGACTACAAATTCTTTATTATTTCATCACAGGTTATACACGATACCTTTCTGAGTTTTCCTTTCCAGTGGAAAACAATACTGGTAGGAATAATAGTTTATTTCTTCATTTTATGAAATTCAAATTATTTGATTCATGTATTTTGTGAATGTCTGGTTTATATCATATTTTAAATACATATAATTAAACTTAATAATAATGTATTTCTTTATCTTAAAGTTGATTTAGTTAGTACAGAAAGTAATTCAGGTACTACAGAAAATAATGAAGAACCAACAATTGTAAACCACATACAGTTCGTTGGTATGTACAACACCATAAACCAAAACAATGTACCTTCGCTTTTAAAATAAAATATCTGAATCTTTTTTAATTGTTCAATCTCACAAAGAACAAGGTACTGTTCGGCATCAGAATTGAAAGTCACGGGTCTTTCGGATATGACCTTAAAAACGTAGGTCCCGTGTCGCGGTAGGCGCTGGCTCGATAAAGAACCCTCACTGCTCAATGGCCCTGAGTGCCGAGTATAGGTCTAAATTTGAAGCCCTTCAACGGCAGACGGTGACGTCTCGATATGAGTGAAAAATTCTCAAGAGGGACGTTAACTGATATACAAACAAACAAACAAGGTACTGTTTCAATGCAAATTTAGATCTGAATTTTTCTTAAATATAAATGTGATATAAGAAATAAAATTCCTTTTTTCTAAATCATAAGAATTACCTGCAGTAAGAAGAAACAAATCGAATGACCTCCTTAATTCTGATGCTGAGGTCATTGTCTTGTGCATTTCCCACATTTTTTAAAAAATGCAGCATTGACTTTGTTTTATAAATGTCCTCTTCAAAAAAATGTTTATTGTTTTCATTTTTATACAAATCTTTCCAAGGCCCCCTTGCTGAAACCATACTGTCTGTTTTAGAATTTTCCTCTGGGATCAAATGCCGAATGCAATGTTATTTTTGTAATTTTCTAATTAGTACCAACATGAAAAAAAAAATAGTAATTTATTCCTCAAAAAAATTGTGGACACTATTTTAATTTTCTTCTATGAAATAGCCACGTTTCAATTGACATTGTAGTTATTTTTCAAGAATAAATACATTTGAATAATATATAATTTGCTCAGAAACAAAATAATACATTAAATACATCATATTAAACAAGTTTTACAAATATTTACAAATATTACTTTTATTTGATGAAGCGTTAGCAATTTTTTCTTTTTTATCAGTATGAGAAATTTAAATTAACAAATCATTTTATAGTTTTAAAGCAGAATATTGACAATTTTTGTTTTTTTGACGTCATAGACTATTAGGATTTTGTGTCATTTTTCTGAAAGAGGAAAAAAGCACAAAATTTGCTCAATTTGCTCAAGCAGGCTTGTTCCAGAACAATGTTTCTGGTGTTTTCTTGGATTAATTGTGATTAAATTCTTTTTTTTATCAATGGCTGTTGGGCTTGGCGTTTGGACCCTGGTAACCGTTATCTTGACAATCGTCTTCATCAAAATAAGGTTGGTAGCAAATTTCGATGATTTTATTTTTAAAAAAAAAATTCTAAAAAATGGGATGGTTAGTAGAGGAAATCTTTTAAACGATAGGGTTCAATGTTAATCAAATTTGTAAAAGCATGTATTCATAAAGAGTTTGAATTGATTTGCCGTGTTGAGGATAAACACACAAACAAACTTATTCAGAAGTCAGCAAAATTTCTCATAGATTAACATTTAAATTAGTAACCTGAATAATGTTTACCAAGTATATTGGGAGAATTGTATAAGATTTTGTCATAAGATTAAAAAATTGTGCAAAATTTTGTATTGAGTCAATAGTAGGCAAAACAAAGTCTTACATTTAAGCACCATGGAAAACCTACGCTACCTTATATTTCAGGGATTTATTATTTATGTCATTTCAAATCAAAATAAGTCAAAAAATATTTATCAATCAATGCATCCATATTTTGTTTGTGTTAAGTACGCTAAAGGGGCTTGCTCTAAAAGTATGATTCTTTTTAAAACTTTTTTTCCTGACCCTCGGAAATTTAAGAAAGAAATTCATTTAACCTTTATTCACTCTTAAATATTATACTTGGAAGTGCTGTCTTTGTAACATTCTTTTTAAAAAAATCAAAATTGAGTTTTGTAGCAATTTTGTCATTTTCACAGAAATATTGAAGGAATTTACAATGGATAAATATTGATATTCTATTCTGAATTAGTACCCGGTAATATAATTCCAAATGCATTTAGATAATTCAAAGCATTTCTCTTAAAGAAAAGGCAGGAAAGAGTCAATACGGCTTCAAAAAACTACAGAGGCGGAGAATGCCCCATACGAGTCATCGCTGACAATGACAGGTGACATATACCTTGATCCTGACTATGAAACAATAGAAGAGCACGACGAAGGCTATGAATATTTGCCTGAATCAAAAGAAGTGTTGACTGTTCCTCGTTGCCTTTCCGAAATCAATAGCAGAGAATCCTACATAAAACCCATCAATACTGACGGATCATATTTGAATGCAATGCATGTAAACTCTGCTAATGGGCATTACTATAATAATCACCCTTACCTGGATTTGGTTGGTGACCCGTCAAGTAAAGAAGATAAAAAGGAGTTTTTTGATGTTGAAAATCCCAAAATTTCTGAAACTCAGTAATGAGTCAATATAAAAATATTTTCCGTGAAACCTAAACGCTAACGATAACAGAGCTCTGTCCTGTTTTGAAATAAAAAAAAATAATAACATCTATATTTTTGTGATTTCATGTGATGTAGTATGAAAATAAAACGAAAAATATGGAGACAAGGAACGAAATATATTTAAAGTTTGCTTTGTACACTTTTGAAAACTAATGAATAAAAAAATTACTTACAAACGTTGTTTTAGTTTTGTTGATATTGGCTTTTTTATTCTAATGATGGTAAAAATGTAAAGAAAAAAAGAAAAAGTTTTTCCTTGATGTAAAGATAATTATGATAATAGATGCAGTCAAAATACTTCAAAATTATATTTATTGAAAATTTACTGTGTTCTATTGCCAAAAGAACTGATAATATAAGAATGAAATATGGTATATAACAAAAAGTTTTCAAGCACTTCAATAAAGCAAACTAGGATCAGAGAAAAGACAGACCACTAAAACATCAGAGGTGCAGGGATCAGGATCCATTAAAGGACAGTTAGGAAATAAGGTATCATTTTTAAACATCTATCGGGATATAAATACGGGTTGGTCACTAGATTAAATTCAAAGAATGGCTTTCTGATGAATTTTATCTCGTACCAGCCCGTATTTATAGCCCAATAGATGTTTTAAAATGATACCTTATTACTTATATTTACATTTTTGACTTATTCATACTTTATATTTGCCTGATTTTGTCTTTTAATGTGTGAAATGCATTATTTTTCAAACCCTACGGCATGTATGTAACCCACTGGACGCGCGTCGACCCTTAATGACCCTTAATCACTGAGAAATTACGTCGAACGTTTATCCATACGTACATCTATGACCCCGTGTCAGTATTTATACAGTTTTAGATACGCATTGCTTTCAGTAGTGTTATATAAAGGAAAGCATTTGCAAATGTAAATATTCTGTATTATTAATCAAACATAAACTACTATAAAATATAATCTAGATATATGGTTTTTAAGACAACACGAATAAATGCTTCTTCAATACAAAAAACCCATATCTTTGGATTGGTCTTCTACAAAATCATTTTGTAAAAAAAAATCACTCTTTTATTATAATTTTACACACACATGTGTAAATACTCTGTGGTTAGCAATAAAAGCATGTTTGACTTCCTCGTTGGCATCTTTTATTTAGTCTTTGAAGACAAAAGACCATAAATTTTTAATCTTAATTTATCACTTTATCACTAAAGTTTTGGTTTCATTTAAAAATCTTAAATCAAAAGAAATCAAGGAAACAACTGAACATAGGACAAAACTAACAATGGGCACAGAACGGACCAGAACAGAGGTCTCTATTGGCAGGACAGGTGGTGGGTAAAGGAGAGATGGGACAATACTAGAGGTGGATAAAGGACAGTTATGACAGGACTAGAGGTGGTTACAAAACAGATGGGACAGGACAATTTTATATTGAACAAAAATGGAATAAACACTGCCAAAATATATTTTTATATTTCCAAAGTATGAAAATATAACATCCCGATAATTCAATCTGTAATAATAAACAGAAATGCTAAAATACAGTGTTATATTCTCAAAGTACAAAGATATAACATCTCCAATTACAAGCTTGATCTTTTTCAAACTTCAAATATCATAAATAGTACTCACCGGAAAATGTACCTAAAACATTTACGTTAGATTAAAAGAAAATTAATAATTAAAAATGGACCGAAAAACAGATTAAAGACATAAACATTTGTAGAAAAAAAGGGAGAAATAGTGTTGCCATTTAATGCTATGAATAACTACCAGTCAGGGTAGCCTAGTGGTATAGCGTTCGCTTAGTGATCGGGAGGTCCGGGTTCGATTCTCGTTCGCGGAGCCCCGTCAAACCTAAGATGTAAACCAACGTAAACACCGAGAGCTCGGCAATAGAAGTAAAAGTCACGGGTCTTTGGGATATGACCTTAAAAAACGTAAGTCCCGTGTCACGGTTTCGTTAGAACTATAAAGAATGCTGACTGCTCAATGGCCCTGAATGCCGAGTATAGTTCTAAATTTGAAGCCCTTCACCGGCATACAGTGATTTCTCTATATGAGTGAAAAATTTTCAACGTAAAGCGCTATACAATCGATCATTCAATCAACTTTAGACATAACGATAAAATAACGTTAAATATATCTTACTCTATTGAACGCAATTATTTTCTTTCGATTTCATCTATATTTTACAAAAAAAAAAACAGAAATGCAAAACAATCTACGAATATTTTGTAAAACTGTATGGCAAAAAAAGTAAACTCACTGCAGAAAGTTAAAATAAAGTATGTGATGTTTTTATTTAACATACGTCAATTACATTTAAAATATTTTTAATTTAATGTCAGTACAAATACGAGTACTTGACTATCGTTAGATCATATCGACTATCGACTAATATATTCATACTCGGTTATTCTTTAAAAATTTGCTACCTGATAGTATTTTTTAATTCAAGTTAGTAATAAAATTGTATCCGACCAATTCATTTATTAAAAGATTACTTTTCTCTAAAGTAAGTTAAGTGAGTGAGTTAAGTGAGTTAAGACTTTATTCTTCAAACTGAATTATTTTTATTTCAATTTATATTCGACAAGTATGCCTTCAAAATCTACAGATTTAGTGTCAGAAAAAAGCTACGATATATGTAGGATATGTGAAATTGAAGCTGCATTCTGTAGTGGAACATGAAACATGATGTATGATATGCCGAATCTGTAAAACATGTACACTGTAGAAGGTTTCAAGTGAAACTTTTCCTAGTAAACTTTCCACAAAAATACTTAAGTGCAGATTTGGGAAAAAAGGTTGCTATTACAGAAATAATTATCAAGGATTGTTTACCTCTTATCGTTCAAAATGAAAGGAGGTTCAAGAATTGTTTGGTTTTGTAGATCCAAATTAAAGAGTTTCTACCTGCAATTCTGACTTAATGCAACTAGTATAGTCTGTAAGTTGTTTTATAATTGTAAATACATGTAAATTAGAGGACAGTTATTGGTGTAACAGGATGTTTCTTCTTCATGCTTTTTATTGTTTAAGATGGTATTTATTGTTGCACTAATTCTCATAATTAAATTCGCAAGTTCTCTCTGTTTTTATAAGAGGTATGCTTTAGTTGTTAATCAGTCACAGGTCACAGACAAGACATGTTCAAATCAAATGGCTTTATGTAATGAATTAATAAGGGGTACATGTACAATAGCATTATAAAGAGAAAAGATAATCCGAACGTTTGATCTACTGTATTTAGTTAAAATGTGCAGTAAATAAATATGTATGTAAATATTTAAATACTAAAATATTCAAATGTTTACTATTTATTGGTGATAGCGTAGATTTAAAGTTGTAGTCTATAAAAGACAGATTTTGAAAAATTACTAAGGAATTTATTACAGCGATTAATCGATTATCATTGTACTAAAGCATCTCACTATTCAACTAAGCTGTCCGAATAATTTGACATCCCTTGCTTTAATGTATTAATTCCTGTTCAATCATAAGATTACAAGTATAATGATATACATTTCTATTACTACACATATTATTTACACAGGTAAATTGTAAATTAATCAAAAGTCCTCGGTTTTAGTTGGTGAGATAATCAGGAAAGTTTCCATCCTGAGAACGATGATCTTCCTGCAGTGTCACTTATAATGGCACCATTATTCCATGAAGCATGTGTCCTTACGAAGACATCGTCTCCTGCAGTAACTTGAGCCACCACGATTCCTGTTCCTTCAAAATCTACACCAGAGGTGACATGTGTACGAATTATACCTTGTTCTTTTGTGTTCACCATCAGCTGAGTTGAGTGATTATAATTACCGTAGATTCGTATTGTCCAAGTGAATACGTAAATACCAGTTTCTAGCACAACGAATACCCCTGTGGAAGGATGATACCCGTTTCCAACATTGATTTTCACTACATCAAACCTCAAAGAAAACTGAACAAGTATTGATGGTGTATGCTGAGACATATAGGCGTAGAATGCAATGGATTTAGGTGTTAAAGCAGAGGGCAATCTTTCTAAAAGAGAAATGAAGAGTTTGTTACCTTTTCATTGCAAAGAATCTTTTCAGTCATTTTTCGAAACTCAGAGAGAGAGTCATTTACTACTTTCTAAAGTCGCATATGTATATTTTCAAAAAGTAATTAGTCATATTTATTTTTAAAACTGTAAATTTATGTTATAAGTCATTATTTCAAATGAATTATTTCGAAACAACTAAGAATGAAACGTCTCCGAAAAGAAGACCCATGAGATACATAAGATAAATTACGGGTATATATACACAAATATTTACATTTACAATGTCTTTGTTCGAGATAAAATTACAAATAGTTAATTTACTTTATTTCTACATAAATGTACTGGATCATCAACAGGCGACGTAAAAAAAAAACACGTACAGGGTGGAACAAATAGATACAAGAAGCGAGGCTTGCAGCACGTGGATTGATGGAATCAATAGCATGTAAATATAAGGAATACCTATCAGATTTTTTTTATTCATGACGATGATTAATCGATATGCCTGCGTGATGATTTTATGCATAAACAACTTCGGTGTT